TCCCGTGTGGAACATTTCAAAAAGACTTTCAGAACATCATCAGGAACCTGCTATTTTATCAGAGAATCAGAAAGCTTGAAGTTTGCTATTGCTGAAGCTCTCCTTCTACCACACCGATGTCAAAAAGGAACATCATTTCATGAGATAACTTTGCGTAAGCTGCCAAAAAAGGAAATAGGAAAAGTGGGATGCACATTCTCAATCCTATGTTTTATTATGTATGCCCTACAAATTTTAATGTATACCTGCTTGTGACTCCTCTTCCTTTGGGTCTTTTAGTTCTGTGAGATGGTTTCAAGACCTAATCATTTTTAGCCTGCACATTTCCTGTTTTCCATGACATGCTTGTGACACTCTGTTTGACTGAACAAGAGACCTTTATTTACTCTTATCTGTTTATTTTGTATAAACAGGGGACATGGGGTAAGGTTTAGTTCCTCTGTGAGTTCCTGTGTGTTTCATCCTCTAGTTGTCCTTGTTATATCTTTTGCTTTCTCCATTCCTACCCCACTTGCAAGATGTGCAAAAACAGGGAAGACTTGCTGAACGAGAGAGAGAGGCACAAACAGAAACAAAGCCTGCTGTGTTGGGTAAAGAAGGAAGAATCTAATCTCCTTTCACAGAGCAAGACCTCTGGCTCTCTGAACTGCAAACATTTAAAAATAAACCTTGGCCCGCAGTTATACCAAGCGTTTAGAAAAAGATGTGGGGAAAAAACCCATTGTTGAACTGTTATGTGACTTTCAGTTTTAGCCTACTTTGAGCATATTTAGCCTCCATTAATCATAAGGGCTAGAATCATTTTTCTCATACTGCTGAGAACCTTGGCTTCATCGTGCTAACAATAGTTATAGAAGTATTTCAGTAGTGGAAAATAATTCGGCAGCTTGAAATTCCCAACCTACGGCTCAGTCTCCCTTTTTGAAGTAGATCTTTTCCTGAAGGTCTTCAAACAATTTTTATTGTGGTTGGTTTCCTAACTTGCTCTCCAGTTTAGTGTCTTGTGAGCTATTATATTTAGTTATTATGCTTGTAAATTGGTTATTATATAGGAGCTCTATTTTTAGACGCAGTGCTTTCCTAGATTTATGCTAACTGCTTATTCATGTCAGCAGTTTAGCTGGAAAGTTCAGTAAAATTGTGCAATATATGTCTGCCACAACCCTTAATTTGGCTACCGGATGTACATTGGATTTCTTATGCCATTTTGCTGTGCATATTAATTTTCTATTAACTGTTTGATGCTTGGATACTGAACTATATCATGTAGTGAGCAAAGTGACAAAGAAGCTGCAGATCAGTGTTTCTATATTTGTGATGGCCCTGAGGAAGACATTCTCAATGGCCCCCTTCTCCATGAGCCTACCTTCTTGTCATCATTGTCACCAGCTGCTATTTCTTCTTATCTCCTCCTCCTCATCTCTTTTCTTGCTTCATATGGAAAGAGAGAGAGCCAATGAATAAGTGGACAGTGGCATGTAATGTTCCTCCCCCTGTACCTCTCCCGTCACCACTACCACCATGTTGCTTGGGTCAAAGCCAGGGTCAAGTGAACAAGCAAGGAAAGAAGAGGAGTACCCCACAAGCTCTTATCATGGGATCCTGGTAGGGTGTGAATCCTCAGCAGATACCTGAGTACGCCTACCCTTGACACCAACTCTCTTCCAGATGTAAATATCTGAGATGAAATGGCAAGGCCTAATCAAAGTTCTGTGAAGCTTAAACCAGGGTATTCCTCAGGGGGTGCAAGACAGACAGATTGTGTTACTCCTCCAGAGAATTCTGGAACCCGTACCAGATAATTGGCCTTGAAAAACGTAAGACTTTTCTGCAACTTGCTCTTATTGTGCCCTCTGATCACACTCCAGGTGATCAAAGAGCATAATATACTGTGAGCATCCCTCTTCTGCTGCCCAGCTAACCTGCTGTGCCCTTCAGATGAGTTGGACAGCGACTTCTATCATGTCTGGCCAGCATGACTGGGAATTGCAGGAGCTGCAGCCCAACACACCTGGAGAGCACATCAGGTTAGGGAAGCATGCAGATAAACATTTACAGTGGACTTCCTTCCCAAATTTGGAAAATAATGGAAGACAGGATCCTTTTTGTGTTCTTCTGATTGTGCCTGCTTTTCCATCCATTGCATGGTTTAATATTACATTTTCTACCTGCCATGAGATTTCCTTTTGGTATCTAAATTTCTTTCATCTATTGAAACCATTGTACAACTTACACAAAGATATTAATTACCTTAAGGGTAGTTCTGTGCTGTGGATTTGGTTTGGTTTGCTGCCAGCTGAAATGTTGGGGCTTTTCCCGTGGAATGATAGGACTTGCAATGTGCTGAAAATGCTGAGAATTTTGTGCTAGAGATTCCTAGGTCTTTCCTCCTCTGGACTATGATTGCCTGAGGTAATGGAATGATTAAATAAGTATTGTCGATAGCTCCTTAAAATGAACAAATGCCCTGCTGGAGCAGACCATTTGGATATCTAGTCCAATATCCCTTGACAATTATTTATTTTATGTATCTTGCAAACATTGTTTTTTATGACTGAATTGTTCAAAATAGACTTCTGCCACATTGGGTTCATGCCTGTTGGGGTAAGTGAAAGAGTAAATAGATTTAACAGAGTGAATTGGCTGCAACTTTCAACATATGTGTTTTGATTGTTCAAATTGTCCAAACTTATAGGCCTCCCCTTCCCTGGAGTGGTGCCTTCCACATACTTTAGACCAGAACTGAGGAAGCCTGGCCTAACATTGGCCATGTTGGCTGGAGTGAAGGAGAAGGCCACTGTTTAGTGGCCATCAGCCTAGGGAAGGTTATCAGCCTGGGCCACTGGTGACAAACCTATGGCACATGTGCCACAGCGGGCACACAGTGCCCTCTGTCGGCACATGAGCCAAGTCACACCAGCATCGCCCCAGCAGCCAAGCATCAGATAACAGTGCACATAGGGGCCATGCGCATGCTCGGAAAGAGTAGTGGTGCCAGGCAGTGACGTCACAAGCCACGACTCATTAGCCACAACTTTCCGAGCTTTTGCATGGCCGGTGAGTGCGCTGCCAAGGAGAGAGAGTTGTTTGGACTGGCTGTGAGTTATTTTTTCTAAATTAAAACCTCAGTATTCAGGTTTTATTGCAGTGTTGGCACTTTGCGATAAATAAGTGGGTTTTGGGTTGCAGTATGGGCACTTGATCTCTAAAAGGTTCACCATCACTGGGCTAGGCTGTGGCAAGGTTGTGGCACTTCTGTATGTCAGGCAAACAATAAGATGAAGGTATTTCTTTAGTAACCTAAAATAATTTTTGCAGCAAATATTGTCTTGTAGTGTTGGCGTGACATCCCTGCATCTTCCTGCAGCTCTTTATCTTTTGTTCCCATTTTGCATGTGCTTGTGTTCTTTGCTATTTTTGTTTTCCCTCAGGGCTCTTATTTCAGTTTGCATCTGTGATATTTGCAGCTTATAGTTGTTTTATTTCAAGTTTCCTCTTAGTGAAATAAAAATGAGGCCCCATGCTGATCCTAAGTGAGATTTAGTTTTGTGTGTTTTTGTAGCATATTGTAGCCTTTGACTGTGAATGTATGGCTACAATTCTACTTGCTAATTTCCTGGTAAAATTGTTTCATTTAACTGTCAAATGGTTATATATTACAATCTTTAAAAGGGAGAGAGTTGTAAATGGTCTGGAAAGCATTCGGAGGCTGCAGCCATTCCTGAAATTGGTAACCCAATCTTGCAGATTCTGTTCAGAAATAGAATAGTTCCTTGACTCAGAAGTCAAGGAACCAAGATGCCAAACTCAAAGAACCAAGGTTCAATTTGGATTCCAGGAAGTACTTCCTGACAGTTAGGACCCCAAGGATATGGAATGGGTTTCGACAGGAGGTGGTTGAGGCCCCATCGGTGAGGGTGTTCAAGGATAGGCTACACATGCACATGGTAGGCATGTTGTGAGCAGAGCTGGCTAGAGCTGGGGGTCAGACTAGATGGCCTGGGAGGTCCCTTCTGACTTGCTCTGTTTCTATGTTTCTAAGTCCCTCAGATTTCAGTGCAGCTTCCTCCCAGGTAAGTGACATAGGTTGCAACCTCAGAGGGTGTGGCCCTGATATGTCCCTTGGATGGGAGACCAAAAGGACACCAATGTATTTTTTTTTTTTTTAATTGGCAACATGGACATGCATGAGGATAAATAAAACTACCTGCTTTTCTAAATGCTAGTCTGTGTGGCAGCACTAGGGTTTCTTGGATAATGCCCTGCAGTAGATATTGATCTTTCCTCTCACCGCCCACAATTATTGCCAGAATCCCTAAGTTTGAACACTCAGTTATAGAGCATAAGGCCCACAACAGAGAGGAAGAGCATGCACTATGCTTTTACAGGGTCTCAGATATAATTTCTTGCATTTCTGATTTCAGCATTGGGAAAGGCTCTGCCTAGATCTTGGGAGATCCACTTCCAGTTAGTATAAATGGGTAGCAGAAGCAGGCAGGGAGCAGGGAAGCTGAGATCTACCAGAAGATTGCTGGATGATTTGCGGAAAACTGAAGGGTCTCTGATTCCCGATTGTTTAACAACAAGATTAAAAAGGCATCTAACTCTTCCTGAATAAAACTGTAAGAATCAGATCAGTACTTGTACAGTAGGTCATCTCTGTGCTCATGAGTCGGTGCAATAAGTTGGTGGATCTCAAGTTTCCAGCAAGAAATAAAATACGGAGTCAATCCCACAAGCCTGGGATCTGCCCATGCTTGGTGTAGGTAATACTAGGTTGGACATATCAATTGTCTGGTGCAGTATATCAATATATCTTTAAGAAGAAGGTTGTATTTATACCCAGGGATCTGTCTCTTTGTGTCTGATATAAATGCTCGGGGTTATTAAAATGTGTCAAAGAATCTGTGATGCCTTCAGAAGTTTTCAAGGAACATGCAGTTTTAAAATCTGTATATGCTCCATAAGGTGTAATTTGTTTCTTACAATGTGTCTTTCAGGATTGATTGTTGGAGTGATCCTGAGATACGGCATCCCTCCCACCAGTGGTCATGATAAGCCACTCAGCTGTTCCCAAGAAGATCGGGCTTTCACCACCCTCTTGGTCAACATCAGTGGGAAATATTTTGAATATACTTTAAAAGGTGAAATAAGCCCTGGAAAAATACACAACGTGGAACAGAATGACATGTTGCGCAAAGTGAGGGCTACATTTTGCTAACCTTCTTCTATAAAAACAGTTTTTGTGTGCTGTGCTGTTTGCTGTCTTTCAATGCTGTATATGTGGAAGAACACATGACAGTTCATGATAGTTGTTTATAGTTCATTGTATTATTCAGCTCTGGTAAGACACTGCTTCTTCTGGAATCTGTTGCCCGTAGCATGCTAGAAATTGTTCTTCTTGGTCCTTTTATATTATCAATTATTAATATTTGTATACTGTCTTATCTGCTAAAAATCCATCATGGCTATAAACAGCCATTTAAAACAATAACACCTTAAAGCAAAAACATCAAGAACATTAGAATCAGCATATTTTGGAAGACTAACTGAAAAGATGCTGCTTCACTTCCATTCTGAAGGCCAAGAAACTTGGTGGCAATCATAGTTCATGAGGGAGCACATTCCATAAGGTTGGGAGCAACACAGAAGAAAGCTCTTTCACAGGTTTCTGTGGGGAACACTGTCCTCGAGAGTAACAGTTCTGTGGATCTTGACCTATGTGGCCATTCATAACAAGTTATAGGGGGTCCCTCAGACAGCCAGGTTCGTAAGTTGTTTAGGTTCAAGGCAACAGTTTGAATTGCACCTGGAAAACAATTAAGTGGCAACTTGTTGTGCCAGTGGAAGCTTCCGGGTGGTCTCCAAGAGAGATGGTGTTCTGAATCCATCTTGGGCAGTGGAACATACTTGAAAAGTAGCTCTTTATAGAAAACTAATTTTTTTCATAACTTATCACAGAGGAACCTGAGTTCCCAAGCCACATTTTATTGCTGTTTGAATTGATATGGTTGAGGGTTGTTAGGATGGACGAAGAACATCCATCGGCTAATAGCTTTTGATAGCCAACTGTTTTACCACTCGTTGGTCTCACTCACTCTCTTCTAATCTCTTTTGTTCCCTTTTAAAGGTAACTTTTGATCCAGAGGTTTTCTTCAACATCCTCCTGCCTCCCATTATTTTCCATGCTGGCTATAGTTTGAAGAAGGTAAGCTGTCTTGCCTGGAAGGATTTTGATTTTGTATGTGTAATCCTGAGCATTTGGTGCTCATGTGACATTACTGCTGAACTTTTGAATACAAGCATTTTTTTTCTGGACAGTTATCAACACCAGTCTTCTCTTCTCGACATTGTATATTACAGTAGGGGTGCTCTTAGAGCAAGCTCTTCCTTATCATATTTGTCCTATAATTCTGTACTGATGCTATACTGGAGTGTATTATTTCAAATGCTGCTCTTATCTATGATAAGATAGGAGAATTCTTTACCCCTACACTCCCAGTGCTTGCCACAGCTGAATCCCTAAAACAAACCTTTATGATGACCGAGTGGGTCCAGCCTGGATACAGTGGAGACAAACAGAAAGTATTTTTAGTTGTGCAAGTGTGTGTCATGCAAGAAATACTGCAACTGCAGCCCCTTCTTTTCCAAAGCACCTTTTCATTTGCTGCTGTAGGCTATTCCAAAAGCTACCTCAACTTATGTTAAGTTTTGAGTTTCTCAGAAAAGAAGACCTTGGCAGTCACAGTCTCCATTCCTTGCAATAGAAACGTGTCTATAACATTAACAGGCCATTAATAAATTAATAGAAATTTCTTTCAGGAAATAAATTTGGGGTTCCTTCTCTTAAGAAGTCACTATTACATCCAGAGCCCAGGTGGATACAACCTGCTTTTACAGCAATTCAGATGTGCCTCTCATTATAATTGTTATTTCCCTCTTGTAATCTTCTCAAATATTTACTGTGCAGTAAAACAAATAGACTGAAATTCGGACTGTTCTGAGAGTTCCCTGTAGTTAGTAGGAGGCTGGCTTGTTTTGGAATGACGTTGTGGTCACTGCCATAGCACAAGCCAAGTAGCATGTGAAAAAACCAAAGCAGTAAGATTTCTGTTCATTCACATCAGCCTTCCCCAACTTGGTGCCCTGCAGATGTTCTGAATGTCAACTCCTATCCCAGCAGCATGACCACGGGTCAGGAATGCTGGAATTTGTAGTCCTGGACTTCTGAAGGGCACCAGGTTGGAGAAAGCTGCATCCCACTTGGAACTTCACTGTAGTGCAATTGCTGGACTATTGGGATTGGACCTTAGTTCAAATCTTCTTTGTCAGAGAATTAGGAATGTAGCAATTCTATAATATGTAAATTATAGAAATTACATATTCATCTGTTTCTGCATGACTCAGCCTCTCTCCATTTCTAAAGTTTAAGTTTAAGCTGCTTCTTTTTTCACCAAGACATTAACTGTAGTGGGAGAAGCTCAGTTTTGCCTTCCTTTTATGTTCTATCTCATTGAATTATTCCTGGGCAAAGCTATTAACTCCACAGATTTTACAGCCAGGTTCTCCCCATTTGTATTTGTAATACATGCACATGCCAAGCAAGTCTTTTGCTTGGAATCCTCAGTCTGGAGTTAGCAGAAAATATGCTCATCAGATTCCATACTGCATCATCCATGCTGTGCAAAAGGACTTTGATTATTTCTTCAGAGTGCTGTCTTTTGCTATAGATTTTCTGCAGCTGCATGAAATACAACCTTCATGCTTATCATCATCAAGATCATGATTGTCTATGAAATGAGAACAATTTTGTCTTTTTTATTTGACAGCAATTCTATATTTCTATTTATTAACATTGGTGAAGTAATCCCATTATTACTAAAACGGTGTACTCTAAACCTCTAACCTAATTATTAGAGTTTGGAAGCTGGCAGAGTCTTACTTAGTATTCCAGTTCAAGTTATGACATGAAATATAACAAACTTACTTGCTTCTGACAAACTAGTATCGTAAGGCAGCAACTATTGGCAGCAACTATTGGTGTGAGCAGCAAAGTGTCTTAGTTTGGTTATCCTGAGCCATTTATACCAGGCAGTTGCTGAGTGTGTTGAAATAAGATGACTGATATCAGTTTTCCAAATATTTCAGACAGTCTGCATAGTAAAGTTGAAATTAGTCAAACAATGTGACTCAACAATATCGCTTAAAAGTTCTGTGTTCTGTTTTGCACTTTGGAAAGCTTTCCTAAGGACTGTTTGTGTTATGTTTGTGTCACATCTGTCCTCTTCAGAGGCACTTCTTCAGAAATCTGGGGTCTATTCTGACTTATGCCTTCTTGGGAACTGCAGTCTCTTGTTTTATTATTGGGTGAGTAGAGATTTACCATTTAGTCTTGTGGGTGTGACATAATGTTTGGATCATTTATCCCTGATATAATTGTGCTTCAACTCATTCACTGAGATCAATGAGTTAGGCTGGTTTGTATGTTTGCATATAAAATATGAAGATCTTGGCAAAACTGATAGACAGTGGCAATGGTTCTTTCCCTCCACATGAAAGCTAAATAAGCTTTCAAATGGGTGTGCAGTTAAAGGCAGGTGAACCTGGTTACCTTCTTAAAGTACTTTTACCCTATGGGACCATAGTACTTTCCTATATATAAAGTCAGGCTTGTACCTGCCAACTTTCCACATAATTGTGCACTAGCAGAAGATGGTGAAGAACAGTTACATAATATTAAGAACTTTATTATCCTATCTCATATTAGTTAAAACTCTGTCTGAACTCACAACTGCCTGACCATCAGATGAACTGAGATTCTGTTTACATAATTTCTTGTAATGTGCTACCTGAAAAGAAAATTGTATTGGCATTATTGGTTTGGGACTATCCTTAACTCACAGCAGGGGTCCACATATTTTTGACAAACCTTAGAAGACAGACAAAATGTGTGGTCCCCACTCTGTTCCTCCAAACAATCCCTGTCCACCATGAGTGACAGGTGCTTCATTGAGGTACAGGAGCCTGTCCCCAGCTGCAAGCTCAGGATGAGTCTCTGCTATTCTGTGCTTCCACTGGGACAACTACCAAAGTGCAGCTCAGAGCAGGCTACCCTGGCTTCTCATGGCAAGCGCCGATGGAGTAATTGCTGCCCAGCAGTGTGCCTGCCTGTGTGCCCAAACTGTCCCCGCTTCCAGCCATGGTCTCCCCTCATCAGCCGCAAGCTTAGGAACAGGATGAGTTCTCATGAGGAGAGAATATGTGCCATGGTGAAAATGGCATGTCCATTTGTGGATCATAGATATGGATGTGAAAACTGGACAATGAAGGAAGATGACAGGAAGAGAATAGGTGCATTTCAAATATGGTGCTGGAGCTTTGTGTATACCTTAAACCAGCCGGAAGATGATCAAATGAGTCCTAGATTGAATTAAGCCAGAATTTTCCCTGGAAACAAAAATTATGAAACTGAGGCTGTTGTATTTTGGGTGCATCATGAGAAGGAAAAGTTTCCATCATTTATCAGGAAAAGTTGTCAAACTGTCAGAGCAATACAATAGTGGAACCAGTTTCCTAGAAAGGTTGTGGGCGCTCCCACAGCAGAGACACTAAAATAAGAAACTGGGCAGTCATCTGAGTGGGATGGTGTAAACTGGTTCCTGCAACAGTTGGGTGTTGGACCCAGTGACCTTCTTGGCCCCTTCCAGCTCTACTATTCTATGATTCCATGAAGGCGAGGAGAAGACTATCACGTTAGGGAAAGTCAAAGGCTGGAGAAGAAGGGGAAGATCCGCTATGAGACCAACTCCGTTCCATAAAGGAAACCACAATTTGAGCTGAGCAAGACTGTCAAGACAGGTCATTTTGGAGAGTACTCCATCATAAGGTCACCCTTTGTTGGAACGGACTTGGTGTCACAGAACAACAAAAATTAAAAGTGTCTCTCCCTGTGTTGGGGTGTCTACAACTATAAAAGGAGGCCTCTTTTCTCCCACTCCCTCTGCTTTCCCATAGCATCTCCAAGGGAAAAGTCACAGCTTGGGAGTTCCTCTTACAGTCTTTCTTTCCTCCATCCCCTTCGGCAAATCCTGAGTGGTAATCTTCTGTCTGTTTGCTTGGGAGTAAATTTCCATTTGCCTTCTTGGAAAGTCAAGATGGTTACACATTCGCCAGTAATAGTGTTCGTTAGAGAGGAAATGTACATATTGCAAGTTTGTTTGTTTGTTTGTTTGTTTGTTTTAATAAAGTATACAGTAGAATAAGTTTAAGTTCTGGTTTAAAGAGATTCAGAAATTAAAAGTCGTATTTTATCCTTTATCCCTTTTCCAACAGGAATCTTATGTATGGTGTGGTAAAATTAATGAACCTGGTAGGACAGCTCTCAGATAAATTTTACTACACAGATTGTCTTTTCTTTGGAGCCATTATATCTGCTACTGATCCAGGTACTGACTTTAGCATCTTAAGATATATATGTAATTTTTATGCATACCTTGATAATATTTTAGCTACAGCTATTAATTTAGATGATGAGCACCTTGAACAAGTATGGCAGTTACAATGGGCAATGTTTGTGTAGTTTCTGACTGACCCACTTAGCAGGAGAGGAAGCCACCCTATGGCCCCCTAGGCTGGAGCTGCAGGGCCACTGGGTAGTTTGGATTTGCAAGGTCAGTTCTCTGACTTTGACGCTGGGAACTTTGACACCACTGCCCACCCTGCCACCTCACAGCTGATGGGGGGAAGACCACATGGCCCGCTGTTTGAAGCTGGAAAAACTTTGGGTACAGATGGGGGAAGAGACTGGAAAGGCCAACCTGTGGGCTATCCTGATTCATCTCCAGCTTTCTTCCCTCCCCCTCTGGGACACTCAAGATAGATGGGCCAAAAAATGTCTGTCTAGTGAAAATGCAGCATGGGAGGTTGTGGAGACAAAGGCTGCCTCCTCCCATTCTGTATTGGGTGACTGTTTGCCTGTAAGTCGGAGGGTTTGCAGCTGCTGTGGTGGACGTGCATCCCAATTAATTTTACTTCCATAATAATAAATGAGAGAAGGAGGGAGGGAGAGGCTAATTAAAAGTCAATCTTTAAGAGAAGTGGTATTGACCATTTACTGAAGTATGGTTGCATGGAGAATTCCGAAATGTAGCATGAATTCAAAGCTGCCTCCTGCTCTATTTGGAAAGTTTGGAGATTATTTACTGTTAAATGGTGGGGAAAATGTATAAATAGTGCAATGTAGCTCACTGGTGCCCCAAACTGTATCTGGTGGAGCTACTCATATCTCCATATGACAATTTAATCTAGGGAGGAGAAGAGTCTTACAGCAAACAGGCCTTGTCCTGTTTTAACTTTCAAGTCCTGATGGGCCATACATCCCCCTTTTTTTATAGCCCGAGCAGCATGGGTACATCTGCTGCATGAGATTGCATGGATTGTAGCCACACTGGCATTTCCCTTTTGGAACCTGGGCAACGCAGGCACACTTAGGAGACTCAGTGGGTGCCTCCTCCTAAGCCTTTGCCTGTTACCTGAACCGGGACCAGAAGAAGAACTGCTGACTCTTCTTCTTCCATGCTCTTCAATCATAGTAGTCCCAGTTGCATTCTGCAAACTCCCTTGCACCCTGTGAAACTAATCCCATTAAGTCTGTACAACTTGCCCTGTTCTGTCACTTTAAGACTGTGATTCATTCAGTCTTGCAAGCAGCAATTATTGCCTGCTTTCGCTGCTGCTCCTCCACCACCCCCACCATCCTCTGCTGTGTTTTTTAATTGCTGAGCTGGCTGAGGAGTGCTGGGGGATTGTTAGCATGCTCACAGCCTTTTCATTGGCCCTAATACAGGTATTGCCATAGCTTTTGGATTTTTTTGTCTAATGGACCAACACGATTTTAGCATGGAATGGAGGAGGGACATACACACATTTAACACAAATCTTCCGATAGTAACTGAAGTTGCTCCCCACACATTTTGTTGATGTGTTCAAAGTTCTTAGAACCGACATATCCTTGATACAGTCATGTTTTCTTTTCTAAGGCCAGACTCCTCTGTTAATTTTGGCTGGCCTTGGGTCAGTCCTTATCATAGCTTGAGCAGTGATTTTGATGTTGGGCGTAACACCATGTAGCAAAAGGGGGCATTTCCCATGTCAGGAAAAGGTCCAGTCAATCTGGTGAATACCAGATGACTCCACTTCAGGATGCGTAGTGAAGAAATGTTTCCCCATGTGAAAATAAAGGGCACAGGTTTCCTTTTGAGCACTTCAGCAAGTACAAAAGGAATGCAGGAACTGTGCCCTGGAGAAATGTTTAGCTTAGAAGACCTTTCACCTTCTGTCAGCTTGCATTAAATATGTTTATATTGCCATTGGATAATATTCCTTGTGTCTAGAGAACATTTTTTTTCGCTTCCAAATTTGATATCTAAGTCTAATGTTAACTCTTTTGGGTTTTTGTTTTCCAATTATAGTTACTGTACTGGCAATTTTTAATGAGCTTCATGCTGATGTTGATCTCTATGCACTACTGTTTGGAGAGAGTGTCCTAAATGATGCTGTTGCTATCGTACTGTCTTCGTAAGTAAAACGTTCGGCTGTTCCATGTGCTACATGACAGATAATGATAAATTGATCATTTGTAGACAGTTTCGTAAACTGAATCTGGAGAGACAACTGCTGTACCTGAAGATATTTGGCAGCAGATATGCAGATGAAAAGTAGACAGATGTTAGATGATGAATGATCTGGGAAATGATCTGGGACAGCATTATGCTAATGGAAAGCTTTTATACTATAAATAAATATTTTTGCTTACTGCTATGTTTATTTTTCCTACCCCATGTAGTTCTATTGTAGCATATCAGCCCACAGGGGGCAATGCCCATGCTTTTGATGCAGCAGCGTTTTTTAAATCCGTCGGTGTCTTCCTTGGCATCTTCAGTGGTTCTTTCATGATGGGACTAGTGACCGGCGTTGTGACAGCACTGATATCCTTCTATAAAAGTCTGTCGAATTGTTTAGTTGCAAACCAGCTTATGTCTTCTCTGTCTGGTACAAGCAGCCCATCTTTCAGTCTGCTTCTTTCTGTGGGTCTTTTTTCTATAGAATTATGGTGGGCATTATGTCATCTCTAAAGAATTGGAAGAATTCTGCTCTGGGTGGTGAATTGCTTTGGAGGCAGAGTCTGTTGCAAGCAAAGTCCAAGTCAAAGATGTTGTCTAAGAGAAGCTGAGATAGGGAAGCAGGCAGAAAGGAAACTAGGTAGGTAAAAAGGTGGACTAATGAACAGAGACTCCTGCAAGGAGAGTAAAATGCTAAATGGATACAGTTGGAATTTTACTATTGTCTAGGCAAAGACCCATGCCTAGGCTGGAAGCATTTTAACCTGTCCAGGTTAGGGAGTTATGAAGAGCTAATGGTTTTCCTCCATAGCCAATGTACCACATGTATTGTGTCCTCATAATCACACCTGCTTTCTAATAGCTGTAGAAAATATCTGGCGATTTTTATGATCCCTTAACAGAATACTTACGTAACCAAGTTTACAAAGCTGCACTGCTTTCCCTTGCTGGAGACGGCGCTCTTTTTTTTGATGTCTTGGAGTACATTCTTGTTGGCTGAAGCTTGTGGTTTTACAGGTAAGGTGCTCTGATAGATAAGCAGGAGATGCCAAGCAGTTTTGGGTTGACACATTGCTGTAAGATGCAGCTTATGTCTATGTCTTATTTGTTGTTATATGCTATTGAGTCATCTCAGACATATGGCAGCCCTATGAATGAACACCATCTGAAATGTCCTCTCCTTGACAGCCCTGCTCAGCTCTTGTAAACTGAATTTTTAAGTCATTATACTTGCACAGATATATAATACCAATTTGATTTCCAATTTATTTATTAACTTCTATATAATCCCATAGCCCACTGGGCTCTCTGGGCAGTTTAAAAAATTTAAGAGCATATATGAATAATAAATAATCATATTTAAATAGACAAACAATAAAACCAATACAGCAAAAAATTGCCAGCCCACAGCAACTGTAATAAAGTTAATATACAGCAAATACCGAACAATCCTATTATTGCTTGTAAAAAAATACTTTCATGTGTAGCGGCTAGTTGCAAGCAAACTTGAGGGTACTATGCTATTGATTTTTTGACAGAAAAAGTCGTACAATTCACTGCATTCCCCAACTAGTCATGCAGGAATTGCAGGACATTTTTTTCTGTCTAAATATGCATCAAATTGTATCCTACATAGTAGATCTTTTTCCTGCAGTTTGGATAGAGGGCCTTCAAGAGGAGACTATTTCCAGAGGACTTCCTTTCTTCGATTTAGTTCCTTGAATATATCTATCTGTGAAACAAAATAAGTCACAAATACAAGCATAGAAGCTTTTAAAAGGAAACGTCAATGTAGTATGCAGGCAGAGGGTGGAAACAGAGTCTCAAAGCCCCTTTGGCTGTGAGAAGCAGCCCTAGATGGATTATATTGGAGTTCCAGTTGAAGTCAAAGAGGGTATGGCGAAAAACTTTGAAAAACTACCAGCATACTGAACCTTAACTTGCATACTGCCAGTAACTAATTTCTTTGGAGAGGCCTTTTAGAATGAAGACACAAGGAACAAAAGCTGGGAAACCCCCAAACAATTGGTGGTGGGAAAGAATTGGCAGAAGGGAGGGGCATGGCACCTGGGAGTTTGTCTTCTGGGTCTGCCTTGTAAGTTTTAATGCTTTTCTTAATCCAGCAAGGAAAAAGTTTCTTTTTCGGTTGGGGCAATGTGGATAGGCAGCATCTTGTTGTTGTTAGTCGCAAAGTCGTGTCCGACCCATCACAACCCCATGGACAACATTCCTCGAGGCCTTCCTGTCCTCCACCATCCCCCAGAGTCCACCTAAGCTCATGCCGACTGCTTCAGTGACTCCATCTAGCCACCTCATCCTCTGCCGTCCCCTTCTTCTTTTGCCATCAGTTGTTCCCAGCATCAGGGTCTTCTCCAGTCCTTCCTTCCCATTAGGTGGCCAAAGTATTTGCGTTTCATCTTCAATATCTTGCCTTCTAAAGAGCAGTCAGGGTTGATTTCCTTTAAGATTGACTGGTTTGATCACTTTGCAGTATCTAACCATAACTAAAATGTAATATGGCTGAACATTGGGATTAGTAGTGTTACTTGGCTGATTAGCACTATTCTTTAGTCATTTTGCCCACTGCTGAAATACACAACATGCCAAGTGAATTGTGAGTTGATCTCACAGTATGTGGATGTGCCCAGCCAATATAAAAGGCAGAAAGAGAGAGAGAGAGAGAGAGAGAGAGAGAGAGAGAGAGAGAGAGAGAGTCCTTCTGTAAATGCTTGAAAAGATTGGGTTAAGGTTAATTTATGCGAGGGCTCAACCAGTGGGGCTGTGTCATAGAATACATATAATAAAGTGCTTTGGAGAATGAGCAGATTGCCTATCCTTACCTCAGCATACATGTAATTTATAGAATTGGGTTTCCAGGACAGACATCTAAGCTTTCAGGCAGGATTAAGCTTCATAGCCCGTCACCAGCACCAAACAAGTTTGCTAGGAAAAGCTAATGCACAAAGCTGTTATGCAAGTTAGTAAGCATGCATTAGTATCTAACACCTCAGGAACTGGGATTTTAAATACAATTAAGCCAGAAAAAAAGGATCTACATTCACACAATGTTTCTTGATGTGCTGCTTTTCTCTGCAGGTGTGGTGTCTGTTTTATTCTGTGGAATCGCGCAAGCTCACTACACATACAATAATCTATCAGTTGAGTCAAGAAGCCGAACCAAGCAGGTGAAAGAACATGTTCTTAGTTTGCTTTTTAAACAGTAAAGCACACTCGGTTACATCGTATGCCTTCATTGCTGGATAATGGCTTCCGGTGTGGTTTGATCAGCTGAAATGCACAATTGTGGTGTAGACTTCTCTAGGCTGCACCGTTCAGACTGCAAGTGTGCGATTGCATATTTGCTCTGCCATGTTTTCTTTAATCTTCCAAAAATCCTTGTACCTACGAGACCTAGTGGTTGGGGGAGAGGGGTTCTGCCTTAGCCTTCTGGCATTCTGCCTTAGCCTTCTCACATACAACAGGAGTGACATATAATCAAGTAAAAACTATGCCAGTGTGTTTTTCTAGGAATATCTTTTATAAGTTACAGAAGTAGTGAGCAGAAAATACAACTCCACGTATTTTGGACTTTTAACTCCCAGGTTTCTTGGCAACTGGCCATGCACGAAGAGGCTTCTGGGAGCTAAAATCCAAAACATTTGGTGATCTGTCTTCTGCCCACCCCTGTATTACAATGGGGGAGCTGTTTGTTTCCGTGACTTCATTCTTCAGCTCTGTTGTAACCTTAAAAGACACAGGAAACAGGAAACCAGTTGGGGTTCTCCCCACTAATCACTGCCTCAGATCTTGACTGGATAAATGACTGAGGAAAACCAAGGACCTGACTAATGATAGTTATGGCTGTCAATCTTTATAGCAGCACCTTGGGATGAAGCATGGCCCCTGTGCCACTGCTGTGGGGAGCGTGTGTGAGTCTCCTGTGTGTGCATGTGCGTTTGTGGCTCCTGTGTACACATCTGTGTACAAGTGCATGCACACACATACACAGGTCTATGAATCTGTGTCTACATCTGTGTACATGTGCATGCATGCATGTACAGGTCTATGAATCTATAATCAGCCCTGATTCAAATTAACTTAGCTATATTTATGTACAAAAAACAAGCTTTATGCAAGCAGGGTATTGCCCATTATATGAACTGTGTATTGTATTGAACTTTTTTTTTCCAACTTTCTCCCCAGCTCTTTGAAGTTCTGCATTTCCTGGCTGAAAACTTCATATTTTCTTATATGGGCTTAGCCCTTTTTACTTTCCAAAAGCATGTCTTCAGTCCAGTTTTCATCATTGGAGCTTTTGTATCCTTTCTTGGTTTTTCTGTATTGTAATTCCTGTCTCAGTTGTCTCAGAGTTGTCTAGAAAGCTTTCAGGATCTCTGGGTCTTTACTTCACTGTACTTTTATGGGCTAAACTTAGTCTGGTATTAATAGTGAGTTTGATTTATTCCTGTGTAAATATATACATCATTGGAGTCTTAAAGTGTTTTTTTCTTACACATACAGCTATAGGCCTATAGAATATGCTGTTCCTTTTCACATTTTTAAAATGAGACTTTAGAAACTTTTGCTACAACTTCCTTTATAATATAATTAGATTTCTTCTCTAATGCTGTAGACAGTACAAGAAATGAGATACTGGTTTTCTTAAGTAGGCTCCTAATAGTTAATAGTTAAATAGATTATACAGAATAGGTAAAATATCAGTAGAAAGCCTTATTTCTATAGTGATCCAAAGCACTATATACTGAAAAGATGTGGGCAAATTCAGTGCATATCATAAGATTTTGAAGCCCACATGTCTAATGAGTCAATCTTGAAATTGCTGGATCTTTGGAAGCAGGTTGGGAAAAGAGGAAGCCCTGGTACTGCCAGACATATCTGACCATCTATGGGAAAAATCAGAGAAAGGGATACTATAACCCTTCTTGGGCCTTCCATAGCTTTCTTTCAAATGCCACTTCTGAGAATATGCAGGCTAGACTTGCATCTGGTCTTGGAGCCTCAGGACAGGAGGATTTTCAGAGGAGAATGATAGGCATATTGCCTGCTTTTTAATGTGTTGTTCTGCCCTCAGAGATAATTGTAATGTTTCCTCCTGACAGTTCTTCCTATCAAACCTTTTCTCTGATTTTATTGTACACTTGAGACTCCTGTCAGCCCCAGCGATAGCACTACAAGACATCTTTTATGTGGAAATCCAGTTTTAATCCCTTCAACAATGTTCAGAAGGTAACTAAAACCCTTGTAATAATTAATGTTAATATATGCAGTTAATACACAGCACACAACTTGAGGAACTAGCCAAGGAAAGACTTTTAATTCCCTTTCTTGTTTCTGCTGTCAATTCTGTTTCTGTTTCACACTTCTAAGGCAAGAAAACCAGCATTATATCTGTGACAGGGTATCTGCAAATTGCTGAATATTGGCCATACCAGGCAAGTGTTCTGAATGTCTTGAATTTCAGAGATCCCACTGAATGTTGTAGTTTAAGACATTTGGAACATTTGACATGAATGTTCTGAATGACTTTGACTGACATGACATAAATGAGATGACAGCATTCATTGAAGTATGACTGATGAGTGAAGATATGCTTTAGTGAATACTGTCATTCGCAGAACTTATCTGGAATTGTCAACATTCTTCCATATTGCAGATAACTCCTTCGAGGAGCATGCCATTGGGTCAGGGATTTCCAAGTTACTCTTATCTGGCCCCTGGTGATCCAACTAGATTTTATTTAAGACCAGTGTTTCCCTCATAAAGGAAAGAAGACCCTTTTAGATGGTTTAGCATTTAAGTATAGGTTATACTGGAGGCCTGTTTAGACCAAAAGGTGCTTCATATATTTACACATTAAAAGTGGAGGTATAATTAGGTATACAAGCAGAATGTTAGGTTTTAAAAAACCATCTCATCATAGCTTCCAAGAGATAATCACTGGATCCTTAACCACAAGGTTGACTTAGATTGCTGTCTTCCTGGGGCGAGCTGCTCACATCTATCCACTCTCTTTCTTCTTGAATTTGGGCAGAAGGCACAAGATCAGCTGGAATTTTCAGCATATGATGATGTTTTCAGGTAAAATAATCAGATGGAACTAGTCTTTTTCCCTTTAGATGGCAAGAAGGCCTATTTGCATTAAAAGTAGTACAAGTTTAAGCTGTGTTTTCCACTGGAAGAAAATACTTTTGTTCTAAAACAACCTGCTTCATGTGTGCTCTTTTCCATCCCTCCTGCTGCTTTGGCTGCCCTGATTTGTGTCAGCTTCCCTTGTTCACCAAGCTCTGCAGAGGTGAAGAACTGCAAGTCACAAAGACACATCTGGCTCTCCTGTGTTCCCTGTCCATCACCCTCGGGTTGCCCAGGTGGCCACAGCCTTTGTTCTTGGCCACACCTCCTTTCCCTTGACCACTGATGGGTTCTTTTGTACAGCCATTTACCCATTGCAAAAGGTTGAAATTGCAGCCTTTGGCTCCACCCATTCCTGGAATGCTGCTGCCCCCAAAGCAACTCTGAAACAGAATTTTCAGAATCTTGGCCTGCAAGAGGTTCTATGCCCCTTCTGAAGCAAATACTCTGACCTGGGCTTGACTTGCCTTCCCTCTGCAATGTGAAAGGAAGACACATGCCATCTTATTATTTTAACAAGCAGATAAGGCATTACTGTATGGAATGGTATGAGTACATCGCATGCATCGTGAACATTATTGTTTGTGCTGTGAGAAGATGTGAAAATCAAATGTGGCAAGTAGAGTTAGCCCCAAACATGGCTTGCACACCACTTTGAAGGGTCTTCTGCCACCCTTAAGTTTCAGAAAAGAAATCTTTTTTAATGATGCTATAAAATGACTTTAATGTCTCATGTCATCTCAATTAGCATGCTAGGGTTGTACATGTAATGCTTATTGTAACTGTTCTGTTTGGTTTGGTTTGTATGTCACCTCAGGAGGATTTCATCCTTAACATCAGTCTAGAAATAATTATAACAACAGTCCCTGATATTTGTTTAAATCTCAAAATATATCATACTTCTTAGCTCGCACAATCAGGCAAAGTTCTTGGAACTGCAAATGTCCGAGGGAAGTTAAAATGGAGTAGTTATTGAATATGTGTTTTTTGGGGTTAAGATTCCAGAACTTCAGTGTTTCCTATCCCAGGTGTTTAATTTTTTTGCCAGTTTTCATGTGCTGACCTACTTCCTCACTGCAGGTTTTTTAAACTGGGTAAAAGCCTGGAAGCTGAATAAAACCTGCATATCTAATAGATCCACTAACTGTAGAGGGAGACTCTTTGTCTTTAAAAAGTTTACTTTGTACAAAATAATCAATACTTAATTGTATAGATTAATGGTCTCTCGATTTGGACCTAACCTGTCCTTCACAACTCACATAGTAACAACATGCCCACCTTTATTAGAGCTGAGACAGCTTTACCGGAGTGTCCAAGGATGGGCAAGTGGCCAAACCTTTAACACTTCCATCTGATGTTGGAGGAGGTATTGCACACTATCTCTTCAGCAGTGCTCTCCAATGTTATCTGCAGGTCTGAGAGGGGCCATGGCATTTGCTCTAGCCATACGAGACACGGCAACTTACGCTCATCAGATGATGTTTTCCACAACTCTCCTCATTGTCTTCTTTACTGTGTGGATCGTTGGTGGAGGCACAACACCCATGCTGTCATGGCTAAATATAAGGTACCAGTCTTGAATCTAAATATCCTTAAATTTTATATAAGATAATAACACCAAATCAATGCAATATAACAAGTACTCATTGTTTTACTGTTTCATAGAAAAATGACAATATTATCAAAACCTTTCTATTCATTGAGAAGCTAAGCATCAGCTTGTTCATAATTCCAGGTAATACTGAGATTTGCTCATCTGGTTTTAGGGTGAGGAGTCAAGATCAAGTTAGTTCACACTAGATGATCACTCTTAAATACCAGGTTCCTTCAATTGACTTCTTCTGAAATGTTACTGCCTGCTGCCCAACATGAGCAGCTCGTAGTCAGGAGTGGGAGATTATCAGGTGGATACTCAGAAGATCAAACTCAGTGGAACTTATTACTAGGCAAACACTAATACCACTGGCCTAGGACCCTTCTTTGATATCAGCAACACATGGACACTTATTTCCCATTTGCTAGGAAATAAATATTCCCAGATATTTGCTGTTATGTCAATACTGCATTATAAGGTAATTGTATCTTACAAACACTTAAAGCTCAATATTTATATCTGGAGAAATGTGTTCTTGTGCCTAGGTATCATAATAACTTTTATGAAGATTCTTTTGTCATTATTCCACTGATTAATTTTGAAGGTCTGTACTTCAACCTCTACAGCTTCAAAGTGGGTGGGCATACAGAGCCAGACAGTAGGAAAACGTAAAATTGCACTTATAGTTGTAAGATCATTTAGAATCCTTCATCACTTATGTAGTAATTTATAAGCTTCCTTAATTTTATGTAATGGGATTTTATTTTCTGGAAACTTATTTCAATTATTTTGTGGGAACTCTCTTATACATTTCCATTAACATTAATGGGAGAACCAAAAGCCTCTTGAAAAGCAGTATTAAGTTCTAAATTGTCCTAAATGCTTTCTCGTAACAAATTTGATGTTGACTAAATGGAACATTTCTGTTCCCAATATTCTTGCAGGTATATTTTAAGTAAAGAGGCACCAAGAGTGCCATTTCCATCCTACACCGCATCCCTCAGTGTTTCAAAAGAGTATCCTTGACCTTTTACTGCTCTATTACTTTTGCCCCAGATGGTGTCTGGGCATCTGTTTAGAACTACTTCCAGTAAAGACCATCCTAGGCACTCTAGCAGCTTTACTGGGATCTGCCCACTGAGGGGAATAAAGATGTGCAAATGTAGCTTTCTTCTTAGTGATTTGCATATTACAGTTTATCTCATGGACAAAGAAGTGTGAGCTGTTTCTGAAGTACCCAGGTAGATGTTGCTAGTTGTCCGGTTTGGCACCATTTGTCGTTCTTGCTCCTAGCATGCTGTTTAGGAAATGGAGTACTGAGGACAACTTTTACTCATTCTGCCTAATAATGTAGAGTGAGGGGATGGGTCCCTAATTTCAAACTTAAAATGTTGGTCTCCTGCTTGGAATCACACTACAGTCTGTGCCATGTGCAACTGAGTCCACTTCGGTATGGGACAAGCATTTGGTGACTTAGAATACGATCCAGTCTAATAGCTCTTCTTTTCATTGGTCTGAATCATTTTCTGCTGACCTGCAGCAAAAATGGCTGCAAGGAAATAGTTGCAAAAGCTGCATGAGATGTGCCCTTTAATCCAGAAGATGGCAGTGATGTGCAACTTTAAAGCAGAGAAAGCCTTTGGTCACTTGTTTGGTTCCCAGTACCACCAATTAATAGGGGTGTATTAGAATTGCAAGGGGAGTGGTGAAAACTCAATAGATTTTCTTTTCAGAGTGGCCCTGTGGATTTTGTTCCATTTCTTCCTACTGGAGTCAACCTAATTCAAATCAAACCTATATGTGAATTCCTTTGACTTAGGGGTAGCAATTTGTGCATTGTGGTGTGGGGGGCATTTGCATAAGTAGTGTAATTTTCTCTCCTAAAAATGTTGGTAATATTGTGCTTTGCAAATCTGCTCATGACTGCAGATCTGCCTGTCCACTAGGAAGCCTGGGCAAGGCACTCCCCTCTTGTCAATAGCCTTGTCAATTTCATCTTTTCCATGCACTACTGCCTTAGCCCAGCAGAGTAATATTCTGTAGCTGTCAAAGGATTTGTCAATTCCAGCTTCCCACCCCACCCAGCCTGCAGAGGAAGCCTTAAAATGAAGGATGCAATTAACTAGTTCTTTGACAAGCACAGAGCATAGCTTTGCCGAGCTAAATAAAGTAGCGTATGGACACTTAAAATTGCTACACCATGTGCACAGATTTTAAGATCTCCCCTCACTATGCAAATAATTTACGGAAGTGGCAGAACCAGAAAAAAATCTGAAAATATTTCCAGAAATGGAAGGGGAAAATCTGCTAAAATCCATTAGTTTAAATGAAATAGACTCACAGTGTTGTTCATTCTTACTAGTTAAACCAGATAACATCTCTATAGTAGGAACTCCTGAGGGCTAAGAACTAGATAGTGATGAGATGTTGACACTGCAGAAAATGCAGCTCATTCTACCACCAACCTTCCATCTTCAGGGGGGAAAATAGCTGTGTCACAAAACCCTAAACCACCAGCAGTGGCAGAAAATGGCTGACTTAAGTGTTGCTGTTAGCTCTAACAAGGGAAGGAAATTAGACCACAGCCGAAATTGGCTGTTCGTTCAGAATGGGAGACCCTATTATTATTATTATTATTATTATTATTATTATTATTATTATAACATTTCTATGCTGCCCCTTGCCGAAACCTCGGGGCGGCTTACAACATGATAAAATACATTGAAATACAATAGTACATAATAAATTACCATTAAATATAACATGAACATGAAGGTGTTATAAAGGGCTGCTTTTGGAAGGCAGCAGCTATTTAATTCTACTCAAGTATCTTTTGTGGTTTTCCATTCTTATGCTGTACTAGAGTTGGCGAACACATTCCATCGGTAGAAGAGATGAATGAAAGCCGCTGGCAGTACTTCAGGTGACCATGTAGCTCCACTGGTAACAAGCTCTACCTGATGCTTGGCTTTCTTCATCTTTCTGACCTAAAGTTTGTGCATTTTCTGTGTGCTGTTGCATGCCTTTCTCTTAACACTACAGAAGACTTTACAGCCTTCCTGATTTTTTTCTGCAAATTTCACTTCTCGCAGGCAGAAAGGATATACTTGATATCCTCCATGGTGCACTGTCTAGAAGTTAAAAGGAGGGCAAAAACCTACCAGGAGGCACATATCTGGACTTTTGCACAATCAGTCTTTTCTCATTTACCTGGGCTCTGCTTGCAAAGGCCGTACAGTCTAAGAAACGGTCAGTTACAACAAGTTAATTTTCCCAGTGGCAACTGGCAAGATTAAAAGAACAGAAACTTGCCTGAGACTCAGAGTGCAAGGCAGAGATGGGACCTGATTGTAAAATGGAAAATCACCCCTTTAAAGCTGAAAAAGAAGATTCTGGAGGTCAGCACCTTGCTTTGCAGAAACTCAGCCTCACAACTAAAGACATAATTAAAACATTACATTATAAACAAGAGGGACAGGGAATCTGGGAGTCCTCAAGAAGTACTCATGAGTACCTCACCAGAAAGCCATGGAATAGAAAATACCTTGGTAAGGCAAGTCGAACTGACAGTGGAATTGAACATTAGTCACTTAAGCAGAATTTATGCACTAGAGGGATTTATGTTGACTTCTGAGTAATAGGGCTGATACCAGAGAACTGCTTTTTGGAACATCCAAGCAATGAGAGCCTCTTTTATTTCGCATCTAGAGCTGTGAGAGGCACAAGTTTATAAGGAAATATACTGAACTGTTCTTTTGACTCAGTGACCAAATATCTGAGTAGAGTTTGAGGATTTGTGGATGCTGTCTACATGAATATGGGGTACTGAAGGTTCTTATGGAATGGATTTATGGAAGGTTTTTAAATGTATGATAGCAATGCCAAATAAAAATCTTACCCAAGTATGGATCCTTATAAGCTAGGCTGGGAACATAAACGGTTAATATTATATAATGATCTTAGCAGCTGAATGCCTTCACCACTTCCTTTCTTCAAAAGCTTCAACAGCAGAGACCACCTGGGAATTATGGGAGTTTTTCCTCTGAAATATCTGGAGTGTGCCATGTTGCTACCACTACTGTAGGATGTCTCCAAGGCATGGTGGCTGGAACTCTGATAGTCCAGTGATCAAGCTCATTGTCTGGTAGCTTCTCATTTTGTAACTCGGCCACATGAGTTCTATCAGCTGGCAAAGATAAGCACTTAGATCTCTAGGATCCAGGTGCTACTTTATTCCTTAATTAACTGCTATATGCTCAGTTGAATATACCAAGCATCACATCTGTGCGCCGATAGATTTATTTGCAAGGTTCCTCTGGATCGCTGATAGACTTCACTGCTCCTGTTACTAAAAGGCAAAGCCTTTTCCTGTTTCAGGATGAGGAGAAATGTGTTTTTGATCCCCATTCTTGCAGTTTCCACTGAGCTAATCTCTTGGCTTTCTGTATAACTGGATCTTTACTCTCTGTGCTGTTCTGCAGCTGTTCTCACCAACTCCTTGAGCCAGTTGTGAGCCAATTACAAACTGATCCTGCCTCTATTGTAGGAGAGCCTTCCTTTCACCCTCTGTGCTCTGGGGCTGCTTTTGGAGTATAAGGGGAACCTTGCTTTTTAACTGTTTCCCACTATGCCTAGCCAAAGAGCCCATATAAAATCAGCAGTATTCAAAATGGAAATTGTAATTCAGCTATTATTCACATACTTTCAGGATTCCCTAATATGCCTGTAAATACATGAATGATTTCCTATTTGGAAAACAAATCTGTTGTAGTATTCCAAGGTATTGGACATGCCAATTGGCATCCCCTGTCTAAACACACTCACACACACTGAATGCAGGTTTTTAAAAAAATGACTGTTTTCTCCAAGCTTTTGGGCTCTTAGCATAAACGTTAAGTCTAATATAGTCAGCCTTGGAATATGAGCCTGTGACTTAACCAGGCAATTACATTACAGAAGTAGCTGCTAAAAATTGTGCTTTATGAGACATGTTCCAAGGTGTCTTGCACCATAAACAGGCAATCCTGCTGAGTTTTATAATAGTATTGAGCCTGCTCTGGAGGGCATTTCAAGTTCTCCTAACCTCACAGTTTGCTTTTCCCCCTCCTTGATGTTTGTGCAGAGTTGGCGTTGACCCAGATCAAGACCCACCACCCACGAATGACAGCTTTCAAGTCTTGCAAGGAGTGAGTAGTTGACTGTTTCAACAAGTCCATGACATTCTAATACTACTACTAACAACTCACAGCTATACGAAAAGGTTTGAGGCCCAGGATTCAGAAATTCATAAGGCCTCCTTTTGTCATGTCTGATCACGGGAAAAGCTGGTGTTACTAGGAACACAGTGTTTGAAACGTGAATTTCTTAGAGTCACTTTTTTTTTAGTTCTTTAAGGAGCAGTGTGAATGGCATAAAGGTGGAGCATAAATGGTTCAAGTAATAACATCGGATGGTGTAACTTGGTGTCCTGCAACAGCAGGGGGTTGGACCTGATGGTCTTCATGGCCCCTTCCAACTCTACTATTCTATGATTCTATGTGAAGTATTGGGGTTATTTTTGCTGACATCTGCAGAGCTAGAATTGGGCAACAGAGGCATATGTTTTAGAAATAAAAAAGGACCCAAATAACTAAGGGCTGTTAGTTTTCTCCTCCCTTTGACTGTGTAAACCAGGGATGGAAAGCTTGTGGCCCTCCAGATGTTTTGAGCTATAATTTGTATCCGCACTATTCAGCATTCTTGATGGTGTGGAATCATGGGACTTGTAGGGCAAAACATCTTGAAGGCTGCCAGTTGTCCACCGCAAGTCTAAACAGGCATGTGCAGTCATGAGTGCAGGCATGGGAAAGCTTTAAAATATAGTTTTGGTATTATATTCTATAATGTTATATAATAGATTAGCAGTTGAGACAGAGTTTGCATGTCTAGTTTGGTCATCATGAACTGAGAGAGAAGATGGTGAGGCTAAACTATAATTTTATCTTTGTTGGCTTTTCAACTCACAGCATTTAGGATGGCTTAGAAGTGTCTTCCTGCCCTTTTGTTCACAGTGCCTACAAAGTAGGTTGGGTTCAGAAAGAATAACTGGCCCAAGGTTGCCTGGTGAACTTGATGGCTCAGAGAGAGTTTCAACCTGGTCTCCCAGGTCATAGGATGAAGCATTCTCATCTTGCGTCATTCACAGAACTTTACTGGTATTGTGTGTGTGTGTGTGTGTGTGTGTGTGTGTGTGTGTGTTCCCAAAGCTATTCATCATCCTTTTGTAACTGATCTCTGCTTTCCCTCTGCTCCTTCTGCCTTTTTTCCTTCTACAGAAAATCTTTTTAAGAAAACAAGGTAGAATTGTGTAATTCCTTCTGCATGGTAGTGCTAGGAGTTATCTCCCCTGAAGCCCCGAGCAAACTCTCCCACTGACTGCATCCAAGCTCCCTGGAATCTGGCTGCCCAGAATGTCTGCTCGGAGTGTGCTGGCTGTCATGTATAAATGTCATGCTGGAGACAGTGGCACCACAAATGTGCAAGTAATTACAGGAGATGCAGGAGCGAGCTTTTATGAGGCCCAGCCACAATTGTTCAAATGCATTCTGAGCATTTGGTTCATCTGCAGGGGAGCCCTTGCTGATTTATGATTAGTGCTCCCGTTTGGAGTGAGTGACAGAGATAACATCCATATAGTCCCATGCTGAATTATTCAGCACGCAAAATGTGTTGGGACAAGAGTTGTGCTTAATAAAACTGGTTTGTGCACTCACTGGAATTGCTTTTTGCAGCAGATTTAAATGAACGGCGGCTCTGTGTTCCTCTTGCCGTCTTTGTGAGTGTGCCTTGGAAATAGATGATTCCATCAGTTTCACATTTTTTAAATCTGAAGTTCTTCCCCAAATGTGAAGAAACGTGTGAATGGTTATGGGTTCTTACCTAAACTGGACTAAAACAAATTCTTACCCATCTACCAGATTCAATATGTTCTCAGCCTGGAAAGGTCATGTTGTCTCTTGCCTGTCATAAAAATGTTAAAAGTGCCTATCAGAAAATGGCATGCTTTAATTGAGTATACAAATATGATTGAATACATAGGGATTCAAACCCAGGCCTTTAAGGCCAAGCTTGACATAGCTATCAGTTTTGGTTTTTCCCCACATTCAAATATGTTTAATCTCTTGCAGTCCCAAACATGAAAGACTTTTGTGAATGTGGGTGAATTCTTATCAAAAGCAAACTGAAATGCAATTCTAACTCATCCCTATATGCTCTTCACATCTATGAGAGCTGCCATTCGATGCATTCCTAGATCCAGACAGTCAGCATCCAACTGGGAAGGAATGCAGACTGGTTTTTTGTGGAGAAAGCTCCATATATGTGGAGAAAGATCCATGATTCACAGGCAGTGTTCATGCTTGTACTGTCACAAGAAAGGGTACCCACATGCCTTCTTCCTTGTGAACTTGCTTCTTGGTTCTTCCTCTTCCAGTGGAGTGCTGGTGGGATTGGGGAAAAGCTTCAGCTTAATGTTTCTGAGAACCTTCACCTCTGGCCAGTCCTCCTCCTGCTCTGTCCTGCATATCACATCTGTATGATGTGCCACCACCATAAGAATTTCTTGTAAGGGAGACCCAATTCCACCACCACCTTTTGCTTCTTTATCATGCAGTCTGCTCTGAGAACTCTTTGTTCTTGGCCAGACTAAAAACTCCACAGACAACTATAGAATGCCTGTGTAAACCAACTTTTGATTATCATGGTTTTCATGATAATCGTGGCTGTTTTAGATCAAGAAGCTCTTTTTTCAATAGGTGAAGCTGCCTATCCCTTCTGCATAATGGAGGTACTTGCACAAAGCAAACATGTCAATCTCATTTTTCCTTGATACTATCAAGAATAGTTTGACAACTGGGAAACTTAACCTATTTTGTGCTCTCCACCCTACCCGCCAGCCCCTGACTTGACTCAGCAGGGCTTTTAACTAAAGGACAAAAGAGGAAGCAGAACTAAATCAAATAACAGCTGGAAAACAGGTGGCCTGATCACATTGTGTTCCGCTATTGCATTAAACAGATTACATTTAACATGTTAACACTACTGAAGCCTGGCCTGATCTGGGGTTTATCAAACCCCCCAAGACAAGGGTACAGTGCTAACTTGCTTAGACCTGTTAAATGAAAGATGTAATGCTTTTAACTTGAGCAGCTCTGAGGTGGCATTCAATCCATCTATGTCTGTTTATGTCTGTTTTTTAAAGGCTCCTTTTTCTCAAAGGAAATGAGAGGCTTATGGCTCAGGTTATTTTAGGAGAAAGCTAACAAAGTCAGAGATATCCCTGCCCTTTTAAACTGACACACACTTTCAAAAACAATTGTCAAAGGATACTTAGAGCCCCCCCCCGCCCCGCTGGTGTGAGTGTGTGTGTGTGTGTGGTTTAGCATTACCATGTGCCCCAGGTGGATATTCATTAGATAGTCTAACCATTCTTTCCAAAATGCAAAATTTGCAAAGACACGTATTTCAAAGATACCTGTGTGGAGGCCAATAAGCTGGGGGGCTGTTTTGCTGTGCTTTGTTTTATGGTTTGTGGCATAAACAATCCCTATTGGCTGTGTACTCGGCCATATCTTGCAAGAAACAGCATTAGGGCCTGCACAAGTACCATTGCCTAAGGCTCCTCCCATTTCCATTCCTTCCAGCTGCCCCAACTGAATCTTCCAGCCTCCTCTGATCTTCCACCAGCCTCACTGTCCAATCCCAATCAAATTGAGGAAAGAACCCCATTCATTCTATAAAATCTCCATAGCCAGGTGAAACAGAACGTTTGCTTTTCTTTTTCCTTCGCAATGATCAGCATGTGTTCTTCGTTGTTTCTGTGCATCACAGATAATGGGTTTCTGGGCCTGCGCAAGGCCTACAACCAGGAAAAACTTCCTTTTTTGAGCAGCCGTTCCTCTTTCTCTAGGCCCATGTGTTGTTCTCTAGGCCCGTCTTCTCCATTTTTGATGCTTGCCTAACAGAAGGGAAGACTATCATCTGAAATGTCTTCAGTGTGGACTTGGAGGGGCTCGGATCACTTTTCTGCCTTATTTGATTGAGCTCACTAAGCATAGCTCAAGAGTTGCTCCTCCAAAAGGCATTTGCCCACTTTTCTGAGCACCCTCTAGGTCCCTCATATTAAATAGATCCTTATATTTTCAGGATGGTCCAGAAGCTGAACAAAGGAACCAGGCAAAAAAGGAAAGTGTTTGGATCTTCAGGCTCTGGTACAGCTTTGACCACAAGTATCCTTTTCAAGCTGTTAGAACCAACAGTGGAAAAGAGGAGCTGTCGGCTCTTTGACTGGTCCTTGGACCAACATGAGAAGGAAAAGCAGTAGCCAAATGAAGGTCCTGCACATTTGCAGATCACACATGGCCTAAGCAGTGGCCAAACTGGCTGCCTTTGGTGGATTCTTCAAGCCACTGCTGCAACTTGTAACATGGTACATTGTGGCCTTCTTAATGGCTTGAAGCTTGTTCCCGGGATGCTTGGACTGGGGTAGGGATGCATGATACTTCTGCATGTTGTGACAGTGATATACATAAGCCTTTACAAAAAGGACATTTACAGCCTTTGCAGGCTGCCTCCAGACCTTTAATCACTTTGCTCAAGAATTTCCTGGATCTGGTGAGTAAGTTAAGGGTAGTGACTATGTCTTTGTTTCAAAGATATTCCTTAACAAGATTTTAAAGTTACCTCAAGCCCATTCTTACACACAGTGGCCCTCCGCTGACAACAACTCTTCCAAGTTGGTGTGGATTGCTAGCACGTTGCTTGACCAGTCCCCAAGTTTATGAGGCAAGTATACCTTTGTTTCCCACTGACTTCTTAAACTGTCACAAAGATTTTTACTAGCGTTGGAAAAATGAATGAGAGAGAGATGAATGGTCCAGGAGACAAACTGTGACACTCATGTTTATCATGTTAAGCAATTTAAATAGGAACAATGCTCTGAAGATGAAGCCCATGCAAACAGCCTTGTCCTCTCTGGTTATGAATAACTGCAGCTCTATTACAATGATTGGAGATAAACTTTGGCATCTGTTTGGGACCATGACCCACTTTTTAAAAAAACCATAACTGCACACATGAATAATACGGACACTCACATAGCAGATGTTTCTAAAATACAGTTTATCTGTGTGCAAGTATGTGTGTGCATGCATGGTTTGCTTTCTTTGAATGGAAGGGCTCCTTCCATCCATGGAAGTCTTTTGATCCACTGGCTGAAGCCAGTCTTTTGATTCACTTTGTCCAGTCCTCCTTCCCCTGACGGTGCTGCTGCCCATCCTGTTGCCCCAAAGTTTCAGACCAGATTTTTCAGAAGGTGCAAAGGTCTGAAGGGGGAATTAGCAAAAGTTGTCTCCTTCCAGTAGAAGCAAAGCCTTGAAAGGTTCCAGAAAACTGTTCCAAGCAGTTTCCTTTTAAAGCAGTGTCTAAAATACACTGCTTTACACTGCAGTTTCCTTTTAAAGCAGTGTCTAAAATACACTGCTTTACAGCAAATACACTGCTTTGCTGGTGCTTAAGGATTTCATTATATTTAAGGAGTATATAATTATAAATGATATTGGCTAAATGGGAAGAGCAGGCTGAACAAGGGAGGCTCAAAAGGTGGAAAGACCCTTCCCATTAACGCCCCCCCCCAATTATGGCATGATCGTCCCACCAAGACCCGCCTGCCACCAATGCAAACTCGAATTATTTCAGCATCCCACTGAAATAAACTTCAGTTGTTCAAACTGTTTTAATTTTGTATGTGAAAATTTTTATACTAATTTTTTATTTTCTTGTATCTGTAGTTTATATTTTGTGATTTGTTATAAACTGCCCCAGAGCATTGGCTATTACTATTACCACCACTACCACACTTAACTGGAGCACGTAAGATCAGACTGATTTCCAGACCTCTATAAGTAGCACTGATCCATGTTTTTTTATTTCTTCTGCCATAAACCAGAGAAGTGAATCTAGGTGGTGTTTATTAGTGTAAGGACTGCATTTGACTCAGCAGTGATCAGCTTATGTAGGAAACTGCTTACGACTGATTCAGATACTGTTAGTCTATCTAGCTCAGCACTGACATGCAGTGACCCTTGAGGATTTCAGGCAGGTTGTACTTGGAAATGCTGAGGACTGAACTTGAGAGTGAGTGCTAGTCTTTCACGGGCTAGGTTGCCAGGAACTAGATTAGATAGAATTAGTCTGAACTGAATGCTGAAATGCTGCCCACCCCCCAATGTCCCACTGTCTAGGAGGTGTCTTACCTGAACATTGCATCCTGCAAGCAGTTCCTGCTCCAAACACTGCAGAATGCTGAACAATTATTTTCTAAGCTGAACTAAATCTTTGTGCTACTCTGATACACTTTAAGTCCAGAAATGTCTCAGTCCTGGGATTGGTACTGGTTGCTTGCTAATGGGTTGAGCAAAAGTGAAGCAAATATTACTCCAGTGAGTTTCAGAGACCTTATCAGCAAGAATGCAGGAATCAGAGAGGCCAGCTTAGGGTTATTTTTGGAAACTTTTCAAGTCCCTGGAGATCCACATGGATTATTTTGCTGGCCTCTTTCAAAAGAACGTTTTAGATTACTGAGGCTACATCTGAATTATCTGCATGTCCCTTCCACTTTAGGCAATGTAACGTAATGTAAATGAGCATGCATATAAGGCAAAGTTGTTCATTGGTATCAGTGTTGGTTTGTTTTTTTAAAAACATATTTATACCTGAGATTGCACAGTGATGGCTACAAATTATGGTATATCTACCATAAATCAAGCTTAATTAATTAGAGAAAAGCTTAATAAAGAAGCTGAAGAATCTTTTTGAATCATTAAATGGCACTCCTAGTATGCAACTAAAGGAAATAAATACAGGGCTTATTTATGGGGTGCAAGGGAGCTAGAACTATTAGGGAATCACAGACCTCCTAGTCTACACTTCCTTTTCCCCAGGACTGAATTGTAATAAGAAGTGAGCTGTCCTTGCAGATACACTTCCTTCCCTTTCCTGAATGCACCATTGATTCCCTTGAACATTGCAACCAAATGGGTGGCTACCACAAAATCACTTTATTTGCATATGGTCAGCAACAGAAAAAGCACTGATCTTTTAAAAAATAGAACTTGTCTCTTTGATATCTCTGTCACTACTGACTGGAGACATGGCTGCATTTCTTTTGAAAAGGGACTTCCCCTTGTGCTGAGGTGATGTGGAATATTAGCATTATAACTGCCATGAGTTTAATCCTGCATGAGGCCCAGGGATGATGTGACTGTGGTACTTATGGGGAAGGTTCAGCGAAGAACGTGCTGATCAGTTGTTAACCCTCCGTATGTGAATGTCCTGTACACAGCATAGGCTTTTTTGGCTTGCGCGCATGGATGTGCCCCTTAGGTCTTCAGTTGATCTGTAAGACCTGCAGTCTTAGGGCTGTTGAATGTGAATGTATGTCTCGAGGTATGGAACGGCATGCATATTGCATAAGCTGATCGAAAACTGGGTATTCAGCAATAACATTGTGTGCAGGTTTTCAGTCATAAATCTGTTTATTAAGTTAATAAATTTAAATAAATTAAATAACTTAAAATTAATAAATTAAAATTGTGGTTTATTAAACCACAGGTTTAATGTCCTGCAGCACCTTTAGTTCTATTCCTATGTCATTCTCCCTGGAAAATGTTGTATGCCTGCTGTTCTTTCTCCAAATAGCTCAAACATGTTTGTTTTTTCCTCAGAACCAGGAGCAGCTTAGAGATGAAGATGCTGATTTTATCTTGAATGACAGTGACCTGACATTAACATACGGAGACACGACAATAACTGCTAATGGTTCCTCTGGGTCACATGCTGCTAATACTAGCCTTGATGGCAGGAAGACCAAAAGTAGCTCTGAGGAGGCCTTGGAGCATGATTTGGGAACAGAAGCACCTGAAGTGATGAGCAGAGGCACTCGACTGGTATTTCCATTGGATGCATGATGAATGGCCCAATGGCAATGCAGCAATCAGCCCCATGCCCAAGGATGTTGGCAGTTCCCTGGTGTCGTGTCGGCGGCGCAGGCGCTATGCGAGCTTCATGTCTCTTCTTCAAGTGGGTTAAGAATCGGACGATGCCCTCCCCTCCCCATCCACACTTTTAAAAAGGCTGACAATGCCTAAACTGGAGAAGTGAAAGTTTGGTCAGGCTCTTGCTTTAAAAATGTACACTTGAACTTAAAAAGCAGCATGTTGTAATCATCTCATTCTGCTGCTGCACCAAACTTTTAACTAGACGTATGGGAATAGTAACTGCAACGATGGCTAGAGTAATAAAGAGCCACCAGGAGCTTTCAGCCCAGAAAGCATGGGAGATCAGTCTGATCTCAGTATTAGTTATAGGTGACATAAACGGTGCAATGTTTGACTTATACTTGAAAACTGTAGATGCAAAAGAAGCCATCACACATTCTCAATTTTTATCTGGGACTAGGTGTTGAAAACAAAGCTCCATGTCATTTCAAAGGATATTAAAAGAAATCCTTCATATTAGTAACGTTTAGTATTAAAGTATTATGTGATTCACAAGGGGAAAGAAAGAAGCAATATGCATGTTTCTCTTAACCTCTGGACAACTTGTTGAAAAATTCTGTAAGAGTCCTGTAGCTGCAAATTCCATCTGTTTGCCGTCCACAATTTACATTTCCTGCCTTGTGTCTTAATACACTCTAGTTTTATAGCTAAACCTTCCTGGGGGAAATCACTGGTCATTCTGTGACCAATGTAAAAAGTGACATTCCTCCAACAGAGCTGTGAAGAAACAGTGTTGAATAAATGCATTGTTGGGCTCTGACCCCCATCACCCACAGCTAACGCGGTCAATGGTTTCTAGCTGGGGGTGATGAAGTTACAGGTAAACACATCTGGACAGCAGAAGGTTGGGGAAGGTTGCAGGGACAGGACTGTGGCCACTGTTTCCTGTGCTGTGAAGGTAAAATACATACAAGGCCACTGAAAGCCATGCCATTCTGGCATTTGACCAAGGAGTCCTGTCTGAAGCCCTGTGCCCCACACCTGTAAAGTGCAAGAGCACCTGCAGCACCTTTCTGCTCACTGCCTGCTCCCCAGCTCAGGGGACCAGAGGCAAAACCATACTGAAATTGCTTATGTGTGGTAGGGTGCTCTAACATGGCACAGTGCCGTATACTTTAGATGCGACTTGCTTATCAAAACCCAACAGTGAGGGATTTAAAAGTATTTTTCTTTCTCTCCCTTACAAACCTTGTACACGAGGAATGAGGTTTGTTTGTGTCTTTGTTTTGGAAAGCCAGAGGTTAAACCAATTAACTTTTGTAAATATATTTATGATCATAGCAGTGAAGTACCTCCATAGAAAGAAAAGGCGTGAAGACCTTCAAGGCCAATGGCCTAAAGTACCACGTTTTATGATGAGAGTCCTATACAAGCCTTCAGCTAACCATTCTACTATTTTGATGAATATCAATACACATTTTATCCCTATTATATGGCATTTAGGCAAGACAACCATTTTAGTAATAGTTGATGCACTGTCGGTGGCACCACAATTGATCAGTGATACGTAAAAAAAAATTCCTGATGAACAAGTGGTTCAAAAATTTACAGAACTGGGCTCTTAAATATTATTATGAATAATAAAGACTAATGCTAATTCAGTTTGACTAATGCTTTTCAGTCATGGTGCCAGTAATTTTGTTACAGTTTGACTTACCACACTGTACAGATTTAAGAAGTGTAACAAAAGAGTGATCTGTGAATGTCGAAGAATTAATTTTGCCATATTGTCCAAAGTCAATTTTTAATACTCTGCCTCATATATGTAAGGTTTGCTGGAAACTTTTCCCCACCTTTACTTGATGTCTTCTTTAAACAGAGAATTGCATTAAACTTGGCCTATTTACTTCGAATTGGAATTTGAGAAAAAAGCTGCAAACAATTAATTCTTTAATGAGATGATACAGGGAAAGACATTTTCATGCTTTCAAGATGTCTGCAGGACTGCAGGAAGCTTTTTTTAAATTAGTGGATAATTTAGCAATGTTACACAGCAAAGATCAAGCTAGACAAGGTAAGGAATGTGGCACTGAAGCCCCCAGTACACACCTTATTTTCCCTTCCTGTCTGATGAAAATATATAACACCATTTAGTGTATGCCTCCCCATCAGCCAACAAACACAGATACGGAGTAGAGGTTGAGGAAAGGCATGCAGAGCTCCAAGCTCAAGGTTCCCCCAACACCCAACCTCCATTTTTTTCTGCAACAACCCTCTGTAGTAGGTTGATCACTCTCCACCTAAGATTTAACAAGGAAACCTTACTGCTGAATGGGGATTTGAACTTCGGTTTTCCATGGTTATAAATGTGATACTCTAATCACTTTAACATACTTCCTTTCAAAGCCAAGTTATAGAAAAAGGGAAGGCAAATCCACATAGTGTTAAAGACCTAGGTTCTTCATTGCATCTCTTCTCTTTCTCTACCAGAAAGAATTACATTTGAAGCACAGCATTTAACAGTCTCTATGCATTTACTGTTAGTAGGCCAGCTCCTCTTGTTGGGGGCCTATATGCAAACAGGAGTATCCCTAATTCATTACCAAGTCAAACATTAAGGCATACTGAACGCCTGCCCAGAGTTCCAAGTAATGCAAGGAAGAAATGGAATAGTACACTGTTTTATTTTGTGAGATTCACTGTATTTAGTTGGTGAATTTGGTGCCTATTGAACATCAAAGAACAAGCACTGCTTGATCTATAGTCAAATTAGGTTAAGGTCTGTACTTGTTAATTACTGAAATATGAACTTGTTCCATAATGATCCTACCACAGTACAGAAAGAAAGAAAGAAAGAAAGAAAGAAAGAAAGAAAGAAAGAAAGAAAGACCATCCCATGGTGAAAGTCTATGGCTTCAATCTTACTTACACTCGTTTCTGAGTAATCTCTACTCAACAACAGCATAAGACAGAGCAAGTGCTGCAGCCTTATTTCTACACTCAATTTCTAACTAAGTCTGAGTATGACTGTGCCTTGTTTGCAATAATAGAGGTATATTTGACTGTGGTTAACACAGTTAAGAATATTTGTTCTAGAAGACTGCAAAGATTAGCAGTCTGTCACCATGTTGCAATTCAAGTGAAAAGCTAGGCACACAGCTTGGAGACCTAGCTGAAAAGCATCTGATACATCCTAAAAGGCTGGTCCTGGTTTTAACCTATTTTGTAAACTTTGAGGCTAGATGAGACTTCAGTCACACCACTGCTCTCACCAATTCACTGGGGAAGAGGGTAGATATCATCTTCCATTTGCAAATATATCACATCTTCCATCTTTTTCTTATCACAGACAATTTGTTATGGAGGAAAAGACAGAACAGGTGCATAATCCCTTCTGACTGGCAATACTAGATTTCTGTCTGGAAGTATCTACTGTCTTGCTAATTCTGGAACAGAGTAAGATAACCTGAGAAGACCACACTTACCTGTCAGTGGAGACCACTTCTGTGGTTGGGTACCTTAAAAGCCCAAGTAGGTGCTCTGGTGAGAATTTAGCAGGCAAACTCATGTTCATCAATTAATCCTCCGTTAAAAGGAAAAAGTTACTTTTAAAAATGGATCCTCAGTTACAGAATATGTAGCTTTACTTTGAATAATGAAAGCCTCTTCTCAAATTTAGATTTGCCTTGTGGACTTTCTGACATCTGAAGGCCAGTTTCAGTTCAGTTATTGGTCAACAGGATGTCAGTTTAAATTCAATTTACTTATTCTCCATTACTGTATTTTTTTCTTAAATAAGCTGGATGGGGAATTTTGTGTTTCAGCAGATGTGTCGCAGCCTGAGCATTTATAATAAAAAGAAATGGTTTACAGTTGCTGTGTCTAGCTTTTCATCAGCAGTTTTCACTTGGTGAGTCACATTACTGCTAAGATCATGTTCATTACAGATAAACTTAATTTTAAGAAACAAAGTCAAATGGGAGAGAGGAGAAAAAGGAAGGACAGAGTGTGTGTAAATTTCTTCATAACTACTAACACATCAACCATTTACCCTATACCACTAATAGTGTGAGCTTTGAATCTCGGTGTTGTGCTGAATTTTCCTCCATGTGACATTAACAGGAAGTGGAAAGAGTTCTAAACACATTTATACTTGTGTTGCACTTCACACAGTAGATGATTGTCCAAGTACTGACAGTGTGTGTGTGTGTGTGTGCGTGTAAAGGTCTTGTCATAAGCAGTACCATTACAATTGACAACACACTACTGGTAGATTTAAGATGAAATATAAAGCACTTCAAAAGTGGAGGGCCACAGTTGTCATATTGCACCATGTTATTTTCCTTATGGGAAATTCTCTTTATAATGTCCTTTTCCATAAAGCTAGTCCATTTCTTCTGCTGCCATGCAGGATTTACAGTAGACATCGCAATTGACTGATGTTTCCAGTGTCTATGGAATGCATAGCTCCTTTCCATTCCCTGTGTGATATGTCAGCTTCCAGCCAATTAGCCTGCAGAGGTGAGAACAAGTCCAAAGTTTGGATCAGAACATGTTTTTTTTTAGTCAAATGCATGCATTAACATTGCAAACCCAGGTGTTGTAGCAAGGCAGGACTGACACTTCCATTCAGCTAATCATGTTCTTTTCAGATTATGCTGTGTTACATCTCGGTAGGAAAAACACTGTTAAACACCTGGCAGACCTAAAACTCCTTAGCATCATCGGTTTGAAAACTATTACTGGAAAGAATAAATGGTTTTGCATTTCTGCAGGCATGGCCATTCCTTTTGGAGCACAGTTGTTCCTTTGCTCTGACTGGCTTCTCAGATACAGTAATAATACCTTAAGTGTCAGAAGCTGTGTGGTTTCAGCAATTCATGCAGTGTGGGTCAGTGGTAGTGTGTAGAAATACAGGGCTAAGGGGGCTAGCGGTCTGGCTTGGCATAAAGGCAGCTTCCCATGTCCTTTCTAAAACAACATAAAAGCTAACCAGAAAGACATGGCAGGGTGGTAGCTCACTAGCAGAATGCATCTTCTCCTGAGTGGACAACAGTGAGCTGGATGGACCACTGGTTTGGCTCTGTATGAGGCCACTTTCTATGTTTGAATAGCCACATGTTTGAGCTGACCTAGAGTCACAAGGGCTACACATACATCTCTCAAGTGGTTTGTTCATGGGACAAAAGCAAGCCTGCATTTGCTTTTTCCAATTAACTGTCATTGGTTCATTACATACTATTTTAAACAAGTATTATAAGGAACATAGGTACCATGGTGTGTCTTTTTATCCCTTTTCTTCAACTTACAGTTGCATTTCACAAAAGTTTCTGGGTTATAGCAACAGTAGAAAGTAGACCTGGTAACTTGGCAGTGCCAAATTTACATGCTGTGTTGTACTACAGAATGCAGATTAACACTGCCTTGGGAAAACTGAGCACACATGGACTAAGGTGAGCAACAAAAATTTAATGTAGCGAAGCCATTCTTATCAATGCTTAATCCAAGCAGATCAAGAAATAGCCTTTTAGGCCAGAAAAACACAAGGGCTCTGTTGAGATACTATTTTGCTTCAGAACTATGTTCAGCAAGATATTGGAAATACTTCGTAAGCCACAGACATGTTTTGTTTTTGTTTGTTTTTTCTCATTTTGCAGGGTTAGGGGGGTCTTACATTCAAATTCAGGTTTGATCTTTACATTCCCTACAGCAAGCATAGAAAGGAAAGTCAGGCAAAAATTACTATCTGCAGTTACTACATGGAACTGCAGAAAAGCAGTCTGCAACTGCAGTTCAAGACCCCTTAAGCAAATAACACCAATGTTATTCCATTAGTTACCAAGGGTGTCTCCAAATAGAGCAGTGACATATACAATAATAGCATGTAATGGTGAAAGCATAGTTTAAGCAATGCGTTTTGCAAATTTTACTGGGTAATTCCTATAAAACATAATTGAGGAGTTGCCCTTCTTTTTTGTGGTATTTGGAATTTCAAAACAAAACAAAATGACTCACAACATTGATACCCAGCTGGGGACAGCCTGGGATTAAGGGATAAAGAAAAGAGGTTTGTGAAATTATATAGGACTCTACTGTTCCTGCTATCTTTTAAAGTGAAGGGTGGGGAACCTCAGGCTGAGAGCCAAATCTGGCCCTGCAGCGTTCCCCGTATGGTGCCAACCCTTTCCTCCTAGCCCACCTGCCTTCCCAGTCACAGGTAACTTTGGTGGTTTCCTAGATTCCATGCAGTTTCCCCCCATATTAAACGCTTGGAAGCCCACGCGTAAGGCTTTGCTTACTGGCAGAAAGAACTTTTGAGCTATAATATCCTAGCATCTGCAGTAATTGCAGCAACCATTCCTGCAATGTGGTTCTGAAAAGTTTCTCCAAAATTGAATTTGGCCCAGGAACTTAAGCCACAATTCTCCACCCCTGCTTAAGCCAAAACTCATCTGAAAGCTGCACAAGATGCATACTGTTCCTTAGTCCAAAAAAAGCCTGTTTCTCTTTCCTGACCACAATTATGCTGTTCTTCAGTAATGCACAACTGCTAGCAAAAGACATGATTTGGATGAAACCACCGGAAATCTCAGACTGCTAGAATCAACTAAGCAGCCTCACTTACGAAACAGATTTAACATCGCTCAATAAAAAACCACATTTCGAACAAGGTATTATTTGTCAAGTTTTGCCAGTAGCTCCAACAGCTATTTTCTTTTCTTGATCCTACCTTCCTTGCATTTTCAATGTCATATTAATGTTTGGCATGCTTTAAATTAAATGTGTGGTTAGTCTGGAAATGATCGTGGCAAGGTCACAGTTGACCAAAAAGTACAAGAAGAGAGTCTGTTCATCTTTAATCAAGAACCATTTCCAAACAGCCATATTTTTCTTTCTCCTCTGTTGGATCACTCTCTTCTGAAATGGTCAACATCTTTAAGTAAGCCTTCTGTGGTATCGTGTTCAATATTTTACTTTCATCCAAAGAAAGTGGATTAAACAAAACCTTAACATACTTATCTTGTATCTGAGAAACAGACATCAATTTAAGTTTTTAATTTAACATTAACAGTTTTCTGGGACTTATTTTCATGAAATGCTATATTGAGAAAGCAACTATTATGAAGACTGAATTCAACTGAGCAATGGATATTTTATCCCCAGAGATGTAAAGGTCCAACTTTATTTATCAAAGTCATTATAAGGATTATAGTTAAGAGGGAGCATTTTATTTCTGTGAAATTACTTCAGATTGAAACCATACTTGACAAAATCAGGTTTATTCTAGTCTATGGTTACTGGGGAACAAAGAATTATTTTAAATGATGCATAGTATACTTCATTTTCTTCCAGGTCACATACTGTATTAAAGGAAAATGCTTTTAAAAATTCATTTCTTGGCAGTGACTCCGGGTACTATATCTCACATTAATCTTGCATATTATATAGATAGCTCTGACAGGTTCCAATAAAGAATAGATTCATTAATGTTCTTCTCCAACAGCAGCTAAATGTGAAAGAAGAAAAAGAGATGTGAAAAAAACCCCATAGTACTAGGTGACATAGGAAGCATAAGAAGTGACTATTATGAAAAAGACAAAATTCATGATAGAGATGATTAGAAAAGAAGCTGAAAATACAACTGCTTCTATCATAATGTCATTATACAAATCAATGACTGTGCAACACTGGTAACTAGCTAGGTATAGTTTTGGTCACTGTACTACCCAAAGAATGCTATAGAGGTGGAAAATGTAAAGAAAATGGCAACTAAATGTATCAAGGGTTTGGCGTAACTCCCCCATAAGAAAAACAGACAGCCCAAAACACTGAGCCAGTTTACACAATTAAACAAACTAGAATATGTTAACCATTGGTTATTTGGGGATGCACTGAAATAAGGAAATATCCTGGCTCTTGACAGCTTGTCTGCTTCTGATGCATTAAGCAGTTTATGGTCATCTGTGGGTTGTTCTCTGCAATGTGCAAACTCAGAATTCTCCATTGTTGAAGGAAAACCAACCCAGAGTTTGAACCAGAGATATGCTCTAAGGTTATAACTCTGGGTTTTTCCCTCTCAACAGCAAAGAGTTCCACACTGTGTCACATCATGGGAAACAATTTAGCAACATCCCTTGCTTGTCTGGAGCACCAGAAACAGGTAAGTAGTAAGGAACCAGGACACCTGCACCTTCACACAGGCATGCTCCTATATAACCCACACTTAAGAAACCCTGATTTGTTTAATTGTGTGAACTGAGTCAATATTCAGATCTGTTAACTTAGAGGAAAAAATGATTAACCGGGCATATGATAGTGATGTACAAAATTATGCATTGCCTCCACCAGATTACGGCTAAAATCTTCTGTAAATTATCTATCAATTTTGATTTCTTTAAGAACAGAGTGTAGAAGTCAGAGTACCCATTTATTTTCAGTTAAGTAACTGACGAAATGTACACATATAGCTTTGCTAGGTGGTAATATAGGTCACTGTCAGAGCTTAACTTTTCAGTGCTTTCCTGGTGCTAAATACCTTGCTAGACATCTCAGCGGTATGAGGTTAATCAGGGTGAACTGTGGTGAAGCCAAGGTCACAAGCTGCAGCTGGATGATTCTTTAAGACACACAAAAATCAGTGAAAGCACTCTAAAAATGCACATTTATACACCAGAAGTAGATAAACACCTATCTTTAAGCAACCTGGATCTCTCTATACATATATCTATATACACTGCTTCTATCAGCATGTGTGTTTCTGTTGTTTTTATTCCCCTAACCCCTTGCCCTCTTATCAGTCTCATGGTATGGCCACTATGCATTTAAGTAAACCCAATTTTCATGGATAGTCACCTGCTTGGTTCTTTGAGCTCTGTGGGGCTGCCATTCTGTACAACCACCCATCTGCCAGCAAGTACCACTGTACATGGAGTTTACTTCTAAATGGGTATGCACCAGATTGCACTGTACAGCATAGTAAATACTTGTCTGAGCCAATCCTGCAAGGACCAAGTGACTGAAAAGGAATAGCTTTGCACTGGAGAAAACATGCATGTACCCTCAGGACTCAAAATAAGGAATACATTTTATTTTCATTAGCCTTTTTTCCACTTGGTCTAATGCAGAGTTCTTTACAAATGCAAGTGCACATGTACACACATTTGATTTTAAAATGATAACATGAAAATCACCTTTCCTGTTTTCCCAATCTCAAAGCACAACACTCAGCATCCGCCCTTATCTGATTTACTTAGATTTCTATCTACGCACTATGAAAGAAAGCAATATGTGGTTACGCATCCTTTTCTCATAGGCTACATCATAAAAGTACCAGAGCTTTATCTTTCTCAACTGAATACTAACCATCCAGCCTGCAAAAATTTAGAATTACACAGGAAAATGCCATGAAATAAATCACTTCCAGCATTTCAATTTGGAAAGGATAAAGAGATCGTTTCACTGCACTTCCTTCCCCAACATCAGATTCCACTTCCTAAGATCCAATTCCTCCCT